GGCGGGGTCGCGGACGCGGGAGGGGCCCGACGGCGGCGTGGTGGTGCAGGATCGGGTGGTGTAACGCAGGTAACACGCCGCGCCAATATCCGGACTTCCCTCGCGGACATTATCGCTCCGGCCCCGACCAGCGTGATTAGGTCGAGATAACGCCGACCACGTCGCGGCCGCTCGTGCCGTCATCCGTTGCGCCGCGCCAATGTAAACAGTAGAAGCCCCCCCCCCCCCTCACCTAGCCGGGCAGAAAGCAGAAAGTGTGAGTCGTTGGGAGCAAAAGAGGCCGCCTGCCTCACCGCGCCGCGCCGCCGGGGTGGGCCGGTTGCGGCCAGTGTGTGGAGCTTGGCACTGTTTGCTTGTGGGAGGCGGAGGACGACGACGGGGGTCACTCAATGGCCATTTCCTCCCTGGTGGTGTGAACACGACCCGCCCCCTCCCCCCTGCTCCCCTCCATGAAAACCGTAAAGAGCGTACAAGACACAAGTGGGAGATGAGCATAAAACCTCGTACCACGACTGTTTTGGGGGATGGGCTGCGATATTTCGTTCGGCCACCAAGACTATAGCCCTGATCTGGAAACAAAACTTGCAGCAGGAGAGATAAGGGAAGATTCGGGTCAAGAAAATAGAGTACCTGGTGTCGGACGGAACGTGCCCGGGGTCCGAGAGTGAAGGCCTCACCACACTGCAATGCGTAATGGGAGCCCCCTGCCCACTGCCCCCCGACCCGACCCCTGCCCCGCCCCCGCAAGCCCGTACCCTCTACCACCGCCGCTGCTTGCTTCACTACCTCCGGGTTACAGTGCGACGTCGTGTCGCCTTTGGCTTTACGCGCGGCTGACACGACATGCGGCCCTGCCCTGCCGCTCGCCGGCCACCCTTCCGTCGTGAAAGGTGTTGTTGTGAAACGTGTTACTGGTCTGTAACACGTTTCGCGAGGTGCTGACAGGAAGTGATTGTGACACTTTTCAAAATATGTTTGATAGGGATAATCGATTTATCAGACCATGAGCCCGTCAAGTGTGTCTTCAAAAACTTTTTACTATGGTCAATAAAACGCTTGTTGTTCTGCCTTACTCACGATCATCGATACGGCGATCCTGGTGACCCGAGCCGAGTGCCGCACAGCACAGTACAGGCGAGCATTCAGCAAGCCCGGCGCACAATCGCCCCTTCCCCCGGCCGCTCGCGCGCCGCCCTGCTGGAGGAAATAGTCCCGTCTAGACTGCAAGGTGAGCATACGGTGAGCAGCACGGCATATCGATCACCAGCGGGGTGTTCCCGCCCGCCACACCTTGGTACATACCCCCCACCCCCACCCACTACCCCCAATTTTCCCTGCCCGGTGCCTGCCCCTGCCCTTGGTGCTGGAGAGGGGTGTGTGTGGGAGTTCTGCCCCCCCCCAACCCTACACCATACCGCACACACACCCCGAACCGCTGGCTAGCGGAGTGGACTTATCACTCGACTAGATTAGATCGATGGCACCGTTTTCCGTAGAGCGAAACCGGGCACTCCTGACTGGTCGCACCCACCCATGCGCAAAGGGTGATCACTCCATCATCTAACTAGCTGTGGATGGCTCTCGAGCGTGTGGCCGGGGGCGTGGCCGGCGGAGAGAAAGGGGGGGGGG